CCCCAAAACCCCAAAACCCCAAAACCCCAAAACCCCAAAACCCCTAAATTTTCAGTAGAAATTGAATATTTACTTGGATAAAAGATACTCAATCACCTCTGGAGATCGCAACATTGCATCTGCCAGTTTAGCGTCTATCTTGGTCAAAATATGTTGGTTCAGATAAGGCTTTAAGGATAAACAGCCTGGAGGATATGGGTCGGAAGGTTCTCCTAGCACAGGTTCAAGCTTCATATCATCTTCTGGAGTCTTGTCCATAATAAACTCCATTATTTTTAAACAATCTACATAATAGCCGGCTTTGAAAAGAAGATCTAATTTCAGTAGGACAAGAGAAGGAATTAGCTTAGTCTTTAATGATTGATGAATAAATTTAATTTTCTGATCATATTCTGCCTCCAATGGATAATCAAACAAGAGAGTTTTCTTAGAGCAATCTCGTAAAACTTTATCAATTGTCTTGACAATCCTTATTTTTCTTAGACAGACAGAACTTGGCTTATATGAATCAATCTCAGGCAGTTCGTTTTCATGAATCAGCTGCACTAAGAGACAATGCTTCTTTCTCTCATTTATCAGTGGTGCATAAACTCCATGTTGCTTCAAGCTCTCTTCCTGAGTTTCTCAAAAGTCAAGGTTTGCCCTTAACTCATCATACAAGGTCTCAATATAATGATGATAGCCAAACTCTGAGGAGCCATTAAGGAAGTACTTTCTCGCGATTTCAAGAACAGTTTTATAAAACTCAAGGTAATTATCTTGATAAAATAGCCAATTGAGCTTCTTCACAACATCATGAATATTAATCTTTGAGTTAGACTTGGGTTTTATTCCGCCGACAATCTTAGCTTTAATAGTATCCTTGAAGTCTTCTTTGAGCTCAGGGAGGTGAAGATCTATATTCTCAAGGATCTTTTCCTGAACCACTGCATCAGTGATAGAGTAGACCTGCTCTGAGTAATACTCCACCTTTTTCCCATCACCAATGATGAAGTTCAAGTAAAATGTGTGCATTTGTGAGTCGATCTCTTGTTCGGAATTTATGAACTTGAAGAGAACCTCATTGTACTGCTCAACCCTAGTGAAGTCTATTCTCTGCAGAATGTAGAGCATTATTAACAAATGAGCACTAAATCTAAGGAAAATTAGATCTTCTTGGCTATAGTTCTGAATACTGTTTAGATCGGCAATTTTGTCAACGAGGATATTCCAACGGTTCTCAATCTGAGAATAAATTCTGGAGGGCTTCAACTGGATCTGCAATAGCAGAATCAAGACTTCAATAAATGGGTTAGTCTCCCTATTGCTAAAGCATAGAGAGGACCTGGGCATCTCCTTAATTGTCTTCTCAAGGATAGCGTCAAAGTCTATAGGGCATGTCTCTGGAAATGGCCAGTTTTGAAACTCAATCTTGAATTGTTCATCACTGCAATGATAATCTCCATGTGTCATATTGTAATATTCGAGATATTCATCTTCTACTTGAATGTATTTTTCAGTAACATTGTAAAAGAGTACTGTTTTGAGGTATCACCAGAGTATGTCATCCCAGTCATAAGAGACTTTCAACATGGAAGTTGTATCACCACAGAATGATCCATAAAGAGCTTTCTCAAATTTATTTTGGACTTTGTCTTTCCCATAGCCTTCACATTTAATCTTACAGATTTTGATGTGATTAAAATAATCTCCTGAGCTAAAATTACAATCCCTTTTGTAATTTTTGTTATCTTTCTCAAGTAAAGGATTTTTAAAGTCTCCCTCGAAACATCCGATGGGATCGATGAGCTCCCCAAGAGAAGGCATATCTCCTTGAAGCATGGAGGTCTTCCATGCTCAAATGAGGGATGGAACCCTATCCTTGATTTGACCAAGTTTCCCTGAACGAAGATTGCAGAATAAGAACTGTGCATGTTCTTCCTTTAAACTGAAGTTGTCATCTTCAAGGAGCTCTATAGTAAAGTTACCTTTAGGTGCTTACCAAATTTATCAAGGTCTTTAAATAAAAGCTGTTCTGGCATCTTAATCTCTCTAGAATAAATCTTCTCAAGCCACTTGAGGATATAATGGCAGGAAATAATCTCATGATCTCCTTTGATAATGTCTGCTAAAAGAGACATAGGGTTTCTATCCTCCTCTGAAAGGGTATCTGCTTTCAGATTCTCAAAGTAGATATGGTCTGCAGAGACACACTCAGTGAAAAGTTTCCAAGCTATAATCTCAAATTTTGTGGTCTCTTGTATTCCTGTACGAGTATCTTCTGCAGTATAATTGAGTGTAGGTTCACCATCTTTAGTCTTTAAATTCAGTCTGGTTAGCTCTTTTTCAAGATTTCTGAGAATTCTCATTGGGTTACCCCCTTGAAGCTTATATTTTGCTTTCGTGTTATCCAGGCCAGAGTTAAAATCAAATTCAAAGTCTTTTCCAAAATTGAACTTATTATCTGTCTTAAAAGATTCTGAAAGGCTCTTTTCAGCAAATCTATGAAGATTTTCAAAGTATGCCTGCCTGTAAAGAAACTCATTCTCCATTTTCACTAAAATATATTCAATCTTTTGCGACGTTTTAGGGGTTTTGGGGTTTTGGGGTTTTGGGG